TTAAAATTTATATTTTAAAAATTAAAAAATCAAATAAAAAAATATTATTTAATGTGGTAGAGTTTAAATTATAATTTATTTTATTTTATTTTATTTAATCATTCTTATTTTTCAGTAAGTCCAGCTGCTAAATAGAAAATTGTAAATATATATATACTGAAACAATAATTTCACCATTATTAATTACAAGGAATAAATAATTAAGGCATAATTTGACAATTCCCACATGCTCCTTTTGCCGACTTTCTAAAGTTTTCTCACTTTTATTCTTCATGGTGGCCGCCAAAGCCATATCCAACGATATCTCCTTGCCCCTTCCCTCTTTTGCAGTTTCCCCCTGAGAGACCATAATTTGCAGAGGAAGCATGCTGAGGATTGGATTAAGGTTCGTATCTCTTTTCTCCTCTTCTTCTTCATTGTTTTAGATAACATGAGTATCTAGATCGTTGATAGAAAAACCATGAGTATGAAAGATCGGTGCTTTTTTTTTTGGGTTTATTCCATTCTTTGACCAGAAGAATTTAGATCAGAAATTGAGTAAACAGGGTAGAGGAACCAATTAAGCCTTCATTTGATTGATGCCAATATTTCAGCAGGGGGTTCTCTTTTTTCCTTTGGTTTTTTTGTCCAATTCTCTTCGTTGTATGATTAAAGTTCTGACTAACTTATGTTAGATCCACTGTGAAAACAGAAAAAATGTCTTCATTTCTGGAATCTTCAACAGGGGATTTACCTCGGAGACTGTAAGGTATATGTCAAAGGCTGTAGTGTCAATCCTTTCCTCTGTTATTTTCAGTTTGGCTTATGTTTGCATTATTGCGCTGTATCGGACAGGAGTTGGTCACCTAGACATTTGTCCTAACTTTTCTGTTGATTTTAATTATGTTTTGTTGCTATTGATTAAAGCAAATTAGATGGGAAGGTAGCGCTGATCACCGGAGCAGCTAGCGGCATCGGCAAGGCTACAGCTGCAAAGTTCATCAGCAATGGCGCCAAGGTCGTCATTGCCGATATCCAACGCCAACTCGGTCGGGACACGGCGGCTGAACTTGGCCCAAACGCCACTTTCATCCCCTGCGATGTCACCAAAGAATCTGACGTCTCTGATGCCGTGGACTTCACCATCTCCACACATGACAAGCTTGACATCATGTACAACAATGCTGGAATTGCCTGCAACACTCCTCCCAGCATAGTGGATCTCGATCTGGCCGTCTTCGACAGAGTCATGGACATCAACGTCAGGGGAGTGATGGCGGGGATCAAGCACGCTTCCCGCGTGATGATCCCGCGTAGAACCGGATGCATCCTGTGCACCGGTAGCATTACGGGGATAATGGCCGGATTAGCACAACACACGTACACTGTTTCTAAATCTACAGTGATCGCAATTGTTAGCTCTGCCGCGGCAGAGCTCTGTCAGTACGGGATTCGGATCAATTGCATCTCGCCGTTTGCAATCCCGACTCCAATGGTTATGAATGAGATGAACCAGATTTATTCAGGGCTTAATGATGCACGGCTGAGGGAAATTGTGTATAATGCTGGTGCACTCCACGGTGCGAATTGTGAGCCGGAAGACATAGCGAATGCTGCAGTCTATTTGGCATCGGACGATGCCAAATATATCAGTGGGCATAATTTGGTTGTAGATGGAGGATTTACAAGGTTTAAGAGCTTGGGATTTCCGGCACCTGATCAGGTCGCCTGAGACTTCAATTGTTAAAACATAATAAATTTATGCAAAACTTGAACCCATAAATTCTATTGTTACATTAACCTGAAAACAAAATGGATGTCCAAGCTTAATGACTAATTCATAGGTACTCGAGAAACTCTACTTCTACTGCTGCTCGATTCGTTGGGAAATTAAGTTCACTGCTGCATTTGCTGAGGAGAATGCGCCATGGAAGCTCTCTTGATAGGAGATTGATTGCAATTCTCGAACCATCTTCAACAAAATTTCACCAAGGTCAGTCTGTTTCTGTAATAAGGATTCATGGTATGAACGAGCAGCAATCTTGCTGATTTCGACATTGGTCGCCTCTGGGCAGTACTCGTCATCTAGCCACTTATGCAGGGTCACCCTCAGCCATTCCGATTCCTGCAACAGCCAGAGGACATGGAAATTGTCAAAATGAAGCCATAAACAAGGGTGAAAAATGGGAGAATTAGAGATTCGAATCTGAAATTCTAAATGTAAGTAGTGAAACCTGAATATGGTACCTCCTGGGCCTTGGAAGGGAGCAACCAGTGGTCTGGAACCCTGAGGTCTTGAACTAGGGTTTCTGGGTCTTGTGTTTCTTCTTCGTTGCTTCTAGGATCTGAAGAAGACTGAGATCTCAGAATAGTCAGCGGCCGAGTGCGTGTGGTTCTCTTGATCGGAAAACCAACAGCAAGTGTGGCAATTGAGGGATTGTTATAGGTAGGCAGGCAACTGAGATTCTGACGGTGGGGGATTGTTGTGGTCGCGGCGGAGGAGAAAAATATCGACCTCATTTTCTGATTTTATTGAGATTTTGGGGGGGAAAGTACCGGTCGGATGGCGGGAAAGACGGAGGATCACCTTAACGTAAATATTATCGGAAACTCCTTCGGAATCTGATTCGTATTTCCATCCCGTCCTTTCGCGCAGAAGCCACGGAACTGATAAGCCCTCTCCTAGCTCAACAAGAAGCGCTCAAACGACGTCGCTTCAACCCATCAACCAAAACCACAAATGTTGATTTTTTTTTTTTTTTAAATTTTTTACACTTTATGAGACATGCCAATTGGTTTGAAAGGGAGACCCTCATGAGGATGAAGAGAGACGTGAGGAAGGTGTATAAGAGATTAAACTTTGGTTATATGAGTGAAGAAATACTCTTTTACTAATAGTTTAGTCAAACATTCAATAAGTTTTCATTAAATGTTGATGAATTTTGACTTTTCACAGAAAGTTTGATTTTTTGAGAAAATTTAATAAATTTTTTCAAAGAAAAATGGGTAAGGATTAGGCTTGATTTGTTAGGGGAAATATAAGTAGAATTTTTCCAAAAAAAGGTTTGAAAAATGTTTGGTCATTCACTCAATAAGCTTTCATCACATGTTGATGAATTTTAACTTTTTGAAGGTTGATTTCTTGTGGAAATTTAATAAATTTTTTCAAAGATAAATGGGTAAGAATAAGGCTAGATTGTTATGGAAATATAAGAAGAAATTTTTTTTTTTTTAAAAAGTAATTTTTTAAAAAACATCAATTTGAAGCATAAATGACTTATTTTTAACCGAACTGATCAAAGCATAATTAGAGATAACTATAAGCTAACACTGTATTTAAATTGAAGCAGAGGTTGTATTAAACCATCAGTTTTCACCATTCTAGAAACCCAACATTAGTTTCTTTTGAAAACAAGGAAAATTAACAGTCTGGAGAACACCACTGCAATAATATATATGAACATGCCTTTCTCCCAGTCCTACATTCCGGCTGGCAAACTCAGCAAAGAACTATTACGGAGGTGTTGGATCTTGAGAGCTCGAATTCATCCTATTGATTTCCTCCTTTGGACAGATGAGCATCTTTCTAACAATGTGCTGGAATTCCCTGTAAACATAACAGAATTAGCAATAGCTGACAACGACCAAGCTTTCATTTTAGATGCACGAGGAAAGTAAGTCTTGGATAAAGGAGGAAAAATGTGGTAGAGAACTGGTTTTGGTTTGGAACTTAACTGCCATGAGCTATCTCCAATTAGCATCAAGTCCCCTTCATTATCTGTGTAGGTTAGGAACCAACCGCTGCTACCATTAATCAAGCTTCCTTGGAAGTCAAACATTTGATCAAGCTCAGAAATGAGTTCTTGGTACCCATCAAAACGCATGAGATCAACTGATCTTCCAAGAGCAGTTCCATGCTTGAGCACCTGTAGAAGAAAGAAAATTCTGTAGGAATCATTTTTAAACAAGTAGATTGGAGAAAGAAACGGCTATAATAGCCAACTTTAAACAGCTATAATAGCCAACTTTAAACGCCTTCAAGATGACAAATGCTGGGCAACTTAAAAGAAAATGCATCTACTCATCTTCTATTTTGGACCCTCGTCAATTTCTTCCATTTAACACTTGATTCTTAGCACAAGCCACTGGCTTAGCATGAAGAAACTAAAGAAATTTGATATAAAACATGTGTGCAAAATTATGTGAACTAGTCCAACAAGCAGGAGGCAATTCCATTTTAGTTACTTTCAAGACCTTGTTAGAGGAATTGTGGAAAGAGCTGAAGTACCTTGGTGCAACTCCTATTAGTGACAGAGCAACAGTTCTTCCATTGGTTTTCTGAAAGATTGACAGATGTAGTACCCTTTGATGGTTCTGAAACCTGGTTAGTTTCAGAAGCACTAGACTGGGATGGTGGTGGAATTGAACAAAGACTTTCTTGCTCACTTGGAGTGAGAACTTGTGGTGAAGGGAGCTCCTGCGGAGTATCAAATAAATTGACTCCAAAAAGCATGATTCTACTACCACCATTTGGCTCAGCAAAAATAGCTTCATTTTCATCCCTTAGTTTAAAAGCCCTCCCTTCCTGAAGCATATTAACATGGGAATTCACATTTGGAAGTGGAAATCTTCTGCTGGCTACAGCCTTTTCATAGACCCCATAAGAGAGAAATGTTGGGGGGCAGTGATTTGGAAGACCAAAACTTGCCATGTTTCTACCAGATAATAGTTCTGTGCTGCTAGGACGTTGATAAAATATATCCGAGATAGCAATTTCCAGCGGATTCTCCATCTGCAATTGTGTTTGGTAACAGCCATGATTTAGTGGGAGAGTCAAATGTGGCAATAACTGTTGTTTTTGTGCACCAGACTGATTAACACTTCTATCACTGATTTCTTGACCTTGGAAGACCCCTGGGTAAGTTGCATGGTCATCTGAACCTTGCAATAAACCTGGGGAGAAAAAAAAATATCATGATTAGTTGCCACAAAATACTTCAGATGATAGTATAAACATGAAGACTAACACAATCATATTCTCAGTTTTCTTCAAAGCTAGAGAAACCTACTAGAAAGAATTTTGGGCCACAAGAGAAGACAGAATACTAACCATCCCTATCTGGTCGAGGTCTCTTTTGGCAATGCAAAACAGAAGGTTCCTTCTTCTTGGTGGACTCCGCTGGTTCAATGCTCCATGGACAAACTCTTTCTGGATGCAAACTTGCATCCGAAGCAGCATCCCATTTCACCTATAAAAGTGTAAATGAGGACATCAGACCATGAAATGCCCATTTACAAAATCAAACGAGCATGGAAAATCAAATGTTACCTTGAGGCATCTCCATTCAGAATTGGGCCATCTAATGCTATCAACATCTTCAATCCCAACAATTGTGCCAATAACTCTGGTTTAGTGGTAACAACATTAGGTTTTAAGGGAAGTATTAGAAGAGTATGCTCCAAATAATCCAATTATTTTCTATAACTCTTGCACTTTAATTCATAGCATGCCACATAGCTAAATGTTCAACAAATAATTATTTTCCCAACTACAAAGGTAATCAATTCAGAGGTAGTAACATGCTTATGCAACTGGTAGATAGATGTAACAAATGAAAACAAAATTGACTGCAAGAGATGAGATTGATATAATTTGTGAAACTTGGCTTACGCACCTCTGTTCCATGCTTTCTTCACCTTCAAATGGCATTCTAAATCTTGTTCCAACAGAGAAGTCAGCTTCAGCCAACTTCATGTAACGATCAAATGGGACAATAAACTCAGGGCTTGTCCTGCAAAGATAAAAAAAATTACTTCACCTTCTGAATCCAGTGAATATCTATATTCCCTAATAAAACTGTTTGTGTTATAAAATCCTTGTTTCTGGCATCTAACTTTGTGTCGACTAATTGCTGCAACTTACCAGGGACGGTAGTAGATGATAAACATGGTCCCAGTAGAAATTGCATGGGAAGCACTAGCAAGTATGCCATGTTGCATGCTATGGCAGGATATAACAGATGCTAATGCGTAGTTCTGTGATTTTATTGTGCGACGAACTCCAACACAAAGTTCCTCATTTTCCCCTCTGAAAAAGAATTGCTTTTTCTCGTCATTATTCCTATAAATGAAGACTTCACAGATATATATTGTAAAATAAAAAAATGGAAATTCTATTGAAGGTTTCCCCAAAACTTAACCTTTGGGGAAAAAATTAAATAACTTTACAAAAGCTAAATTCAAAACAAAATAAATAAATCACAGACAAACGTGCAAACACACAGTAAAACTTGAATTGCCACCACACAACACAAAACATTAAAGAAAACAAAATTAATATAAACATGTAATGCACTGAGAGAGAAGGAGAGAGAAACCTAAGGAAGATAAATACATCCCCAGTGACAAGTTTCTTTGAAGACAGAAATGTACTCCAACCACTAGTAAGCAAGTGCCTCTTTGGATGACCTACATTTGTTTGGGAAAAGAAACCAGTGCAAAAAATATTAAACTAGTAATTTTGATAATCACAGTGCTGCCACCATGATACTTAACTAACTTTTTTCTATAAATGCCATGCCATATTTATAGTAAATATTCCAGATACATCTTTTATTCTTCCAGAATACAGAGGACTAATAATAGCAATGCATGAATTTTCTCAGGCCTAGATGTAAACTCGAGGCAAAAAGATTAAAAGTACCACGATAAATATGGCGAAAATGCCATTCATTCCCATGCAAGTCCTTGGCAACCAATTCCTGTGTTGGGGGTTGCTGAGACATGTCCTGCAACAAATCCTTACCATGAAAATAATACAACCTATACAGATCATTTTGAACATGCTAACACAGTAAATTCGTTCCATGTCTAAAAGAATTTCATGCAGAAATCCCACAGGGAGGAAAAAAAGGAACTTGGAAAATAAGCACTGGCAAGTTTACATCAGTCCACAATCCACACTCTTGGTAGTTTGCAATTGAATTCAATTAGTTGGTGATAGCTTCTGAAGCTGCATACAACTCATCTTAAGATTCTTCTTATTATTTTTTTCCAAAACATGTACATATCAAGAAATTACAGCAAAATTACCAACCAGTGGTGGAAGACATTCTTCAGCATGTCTCTTTGGAACCGAGAAGCCACCATGTGTGCTTGTGTCAGATGGGGTTAGTTTCTTGCTAAAGAAATGTGAAGAAGCCTTCTGAGGTGAAAGCTTTGAGTTCCTATCCAAATTTGATTCATCTTGCTGCAAGGCAAAGTAGTATGATGATACAGAACAGTTAGGAAATAAAATAAAGGTAAACCATGTGATTCTTGTTCCTACAGCATCTGAATGCACAATATTACCATCTACATTGCCCACAAAACCAAAATTTTGAAAATTCATAGGACAAGAGAATCCAAATAGAAACACAAGTTTCCTC